CCAACTGAATGAGAGGAAGAGTGGGAAGCAGAGGGGAGAAGAAAGATAGGAAGAGAGAGATAGGAGAGAGGGTAATGGGGGAAGATGAGGAGAAGAAGGAGAAGTGGAATGAAGAGAGAGGAGAAGGAGAAAGGAAGGGGAAGTAGAGTAGAAAAGGTTGATGGAGGGAAGAAAGGAAGTAAGGAGCGGGAGGAGAGAGGCAGAAGAAAGAGGTGTATGGAGAGCAGAAGAGCTAATAATTGGTTTTTATCTTTCTGGGAGTTGATGGCAAGAGGAACTGATGTAATTACTACTTAATACAATATGATATTGGCTATGTAATAGTATACATGTGTTTATATGTTATGAAAATGGAAAATAAAAAGTATTTTGAAAAAAAAATCTGTTCTGATCTAGCAGGTCTATTCTAAAGTTTTGTTTTGTTTTGTTTTTCCAGGTTTAATCATGGAAGAATATGCGGCTAAATATCTTGGTGTGAAAATGTGCAAGTTTATTCCAAAACATGCTCGAAATTTAGCTAATGAATTTCGATGCTATGTGAATTATGATTCTGGACTGGATTTGGATTCTCTCTCTTGATAACCCAATAAACATCAATAGGATTTTTCAAACTTTAATAATTTTTCCTTTTCTGACATGATGTATTCGTCAACATTTTTTGTTTCTCATTACATTTCAGCTGATATGAATTCCTTTGTAAGGGAGATAGGCAATTTTGAAATTTGATAAAAAATATTTTCTGTTTGCTTTTTTACCAAAAAGTAGAAGGAATTGCTATTATCCATAATTAGTGTATAGTGTTGGTTTCAATTATTTAAGATACCTGTATTGGATTGTACAGAGTCTGAAATAGAGAAGGGATAATAATTATTTCAATATATTAAATTTCCTCACACTTGTTTTCAAGAAGTTCAATGAATATTGCTGTTTTCAAGCATAAAAGACCATCACTGCATTAAAACATTAGGAATGCATTCACAATATTATTTTACTATACACCATTCTGCATGATCTTTATTTTACTTTCTACAGTAATATATGGGTGAAGCCACTTAAAAACATCTTTTGATGGAGGAGATAAAGAGTTTTCTTTTTTTGAGTCCACACCGGGCTAGACAGGGCAAGCTGCAATAAAGTGAATTTTTTTTAGACATTGATAGTTTTATTACCTGCCTTGATTTTGAGGCTAACAGAGTTAAATTGGATTGCAAATGAACTTCAAAATTGAAACAGTGATGTGGAAGTGCCCCTAGAAGACTCTCTCCCCCCCCCCCCATTTAAAATCATGCAAGATTTGGATTTTGTCATCCTTGGTGTCTTCTGTGTATGGCACATGTGCCACAAGTGGCATGTGGAGCCATCTCTGAGTGACTTGAACCGTTGCCCTCGGTCAGCTGCTGCGTGCATGCGTGCTCCGCCCATCTGATTTTCAGCCTTTAAAGGGCCTCCGGAGGGCGAGGGAGAGCCAGGGAAGGTCATTTTCGTCCTCCCCAGGCTTCAGAAAAGCCTCCTACTGGGCCTACCAGATGTTTGGAAATGGGTCATTTCCGGTTTCGGGGGGGCCTCTTGAGGGCCAAGGGAGGCTGTTTTCACCTTCACCAGGCTTCAGGAAAGCCTCTGAAGACTTAAGAGGGCAAAGCACGGGCCTACTGGACCTACTGGAAGTTCAGAAATAGGCCATTTCTGACTTTCGGGGGGGGGGGGAGGCCGTTTTCACCCTCAACAGGCTTCAGGAAAGCCTCTGAAGCCTGGGGAAGGTGAAAAACAGGCCTACCAGGCCTATTTGTGGGCCATTTCGGGACGGAGGCTTCAATGAGACCTACTAGGCCCAAAACAAGGCGGGCGGGTCATGTACTCATGCGCGAGAAGGCATGCGGGGGGGGGATTGAATTATGGGTGTGGTCACACACACTATCACATGTGCACGCTTTTGGCACCTGAGCCAAAAAAAGGTTAGCCATCACTATAGTAGAAAATGTGTGTGTGTGTAAATGCATGCTATATCTGGATTTTCAAATATTTGAGTGCTTTCTGTAACTACAGTGAATCTTGATTTTTCAATCTTTTACAAATGGGGGCCATCCTACCATTGGCATTTATTAAATTGTGTATTTCAATATTATAAAAAAGTTTAATATTTATTTCCCTATAAAATAAATTCTGAAATGGAAAAGCAGAAAGACACATTTGACTTGGCATAAAACACTGTCTCACAAGTGTTGTGAGACACTTGTGAGATGGATTGGATGTAATGGATTGCATTATCTTCAGACTTCGGTCTGAGACTAGTTACTATTTTTGAAGTTTGCATTTAAGTTGTCAAATAATTTCCTTGAATTGGAATTTTTTGTAACACAATCATTACTTAATTCCCGTGAATTGCCTAAATAAACCCACAATATAAGTAATATCAAAAGGGGGGAGAGGGCCTTTATCATCACAAATTGAGGACACAGGCAATATCACCCAATCTTTCTGAAGTTCTTTGGAAATTTAACCAATTCAATGAATGCTCTAAAATCAATAATGTCTCTCGGGTTTATAATAATGTTGGGAAATAAAGTCAGGATGCAAAGATCAGATGTAAGCAAGCTAGAACAGATGAAAAGAAAAGCTGAAGAACAAGACCAAAGAATACCTGAGCAAGAAATATCACCTAGAAACAAGGAAAATCAAGCTAGAAATAATCAAGTAGCAAATAACAGCTATAGCCAAGACGATCAGCAAATGCATATTTGCAGAATCTCCAATTTCAGTTGAATTAGAAACATTTCTACCAATCTGTCAATGGACAGATTGCAATAAACCAGACAAAACCTGACAGAAAAAAGCAACTTTCTGATCGCAGCTACGGGGCAACCCAAAGAAATACAAGAATGCAACTTGAATAAAAGAGATAAGAATTTTTTTTAAAAAAAAGCTGAAATGGGGGGAAAAAACTTGTAATAACAGCAGAAGAAAAGTCAAGGAAGACCAAGAACTGGTCAACACCAGGTGAATTTCATCATTTAGGTTGAATGGTCTACACCAACTTATTGCCAAGCAGTTTAACAATATACTACAAGGAGGTAAAATTGAAGATAAGTTAACATCTGGAAAAAGTTATCTGATAATGAAAGATCCAGCAAAAGGGGCAGCACCAGGCAACTGCAGGCCAAATTACCTGCTTACCAACAACTTTCAAATTGTAACTGGTTTGGTAGTTGATGTAGTCCAACTGCGTCTAGTTGGAAATAAGCTCTTCCCACTTGAGCAGAAAGAGCTGTGAGTTCAGGTTTTTGTTTAGGTAATAGTACCAAAATACATTTTTAGAATCCGTCTTTGACAACAGTGAATAGGAAATCAATTTTCTGGCATGAAATAAATTAAAATCATATGTTTGCCTTGATGAAACCATGTGTCATTTCCACCCACCCTATAAAGTAAAGACTATGTGAGTGGTTTCAACTGCAAATGTTCCTGTTTTTCAATAGAGATACAATGTGAGCCATATGCTTGCTCTGGGAGATAATTTAAAGAGAATATTTGGTGGGAAAAGACACATATCAATGATGGACATAGAAACAAATTCATCAATTGGTTCAGTTGTCTAGAAACAGAGGACACCGTAAATGAGTAATCTGTGATATAGAAGTTTTAAGATTTCCAGAGATATAAGAGATGATAGGACTTCAGTACAGATACTTTAAAAATTCTTACCTACGTTGCTCCTTAGATTTTGATTAATCCATCTTGTTTGCTAGATCGAACTGGTACTTTAGGAATTCACCATAGTTCTGTTTTATTTCCATATTGTATGCACAGGAAGAAAATATTCTGTTTTGCTTGAATTCTTGCTTGGATGCAATAGCTCTCTACGATTTCAAGCAAAGGGTTTTCACATTGACCAGAATTTGATGATCTTGTCTTTTGGATCAGGACAGAATAAACCCACTTAAACTCTGAATAACAGCTTTATAGAAGACAGCTATCCTTTCTCTTCAGTTTTCTCTGTTGGGATAAATCAATTGTTTTTTCCCATCATTCTTTCTAAGATTAATTTCCAGGCTTTTCTTTTTCCACCCTTCTCAGCACATGATTCATAATTGCGTTAGAGCTGGACAGTACTGTACCTAAATCTAATAAAATGATTATCTGTTTTGTCAATATCAGTTGAAGAAAAGCACATTGCTTGAAATCTGCTTCTGATTCTTTGGTCTCATCAGCTTAAGCTGGCAGCCTTCAAACAAGCTGGTGAAGGAACATGTGTTTTCTCCCTCCCTCCTTCCCTCCCTCCCTCCCTCTCTCTCTTTCTCTCTCTCTCTCCCCATAGCAAAAATTAGCCATTATAATATATTGCTTTTTATTTCTATTGCAAAGAAGTAAGGGTATAAATGCAGGTTTTTTTAGGCGCTAAGTATTGTCGTTGCAAAATTGTCACATTTCATTATTGCATTTTATGGAGGGAGAGGGAGATGGAATGATGGAAACAGGAATCCAGTCCCTCTTCTGAAGTGAGACCCAATTCCCAATCAAATGCAGATTTAATCACCGATTTGTCACAGTTTGCTCTTCTTCCCCCACCTTAGACATCATCCTGCCTTGTAGCTGTTACAAACAGATAGCTCCAAGGATAGTTACCAATGAATAATTTGGAAATCAATTTGAGAAATGCGTATTTAGTATGGCAATTGCAGTTGTGGAAAAATGAGCTTGAAATGATTAAACTCCAGTAAACAGGGCTCAGCAGTTTTCCCCCTGCCTCTTGCTGCTTTAGGAGGTAGTAGCAGATGCCTTGTGCATACACAATTCAAAGAACTTTTGCTATTCAAGAGCTTGGCTCATATTTTCCTTGAATTCGACCATTTCTCTCTCTTGAGAAAGGAATGCCAAAAGACATTTGTCTGCCTTTTGTTTTGGTTTTTTTTTGAACTCTCCATGATTTCATTTTATTGCTGTCCATTTATGTATTCCCAAAGCTATTACCAAAAGTTAAAGTAGCTTAGAGAGGCAATTGGCATATTTCCAGGCGTCTGAAAGGGCTCATAAACCAGACAATGCTTTGCTTTGCACAATGGTGCGAGAAGTAACCTCTGTCACAGACAGCTTTCTCCAAATTGGGGCTCTTCAGGACTTGGCCAGCTACTGCAGTGTAGCTGAAGATTGTCTGATTGAGGTCATCTTTTGTAGTAGAGATGGCAAGATTTGCTCCAGCACAAATGATGTTTCAGGATCACTGTAATCTCAGAGCTATGGCTGGCATGGGCCAGATTAGGATGTAAACAGGGGTGGCCTGCTGGGGGATTCGTAGGGATTAGGAGAACCTCTAGCTAAGATTCTGTGCAGTTCGGAGAACCCCCAAATCCCACTCCTAGTCCTGCCCACCCCACCCCATCCCTCCCAGGAGTCCCCACGCGTTTTGGATGCAGGTAAATGCAGGGCCTCACGGAGGCTCAAGGAGGGCGAAAAACAGGCCTACCAGAAGTTCAGGAAAGCCTCCAGAGCCTAGGGAGGGTAAAAATCCCCCCCAAAACATGGTGGAGGAGGCTGACTAGGCCCCTCCCACCATGGCCCCGCCCACCCAGCAACTGGGCAGAGAACCCTTTGCTAACATTTTTGAAGCCCACCCCTGGATGTAGGCCAGTGGCCTGCTTTGTGGGAGTGGCTTGCCAGCCATGTGATTGCATGGGAGTGGCTTGCTGGCCATGTGACCAGGTGGGAGTGGCTCATCAGCCATGTGACTGGGTGGGCATGGTCAACTTGTAAAATGTGGTGAAACTCACTTAACAACGCTCTTGCTTAGCAACCAAAATATTGGCTCAGAAACTCTGGCATTTGAAGCATGCAAGTCTTAAAGCTGTCAAGTTGCAAGACCCTTGCACCCCTAACCCTTTAGAAAGAAAAAACCTCAGGGGTGTTCAAACTTGACAGCTTTAAGACTTGCAAACTTCAACTCCCAGAATTCTTCC